ATCTACAGAGAGAACAAACTAGATCTAAGCATATGCTATAAGCTGTTTGCCCTGTAAGCATGTGCATATGCAATGGTGTAGCTTGACTTGGTAGTCAATAGAAATATTTCTATGTTATTAAAAAAACGAATATCTGATAAAGGACTATTTCCCGAATTGCAACTGTATACTAATTATCAAATCAACTTGTATATACTCTACATAATTTGTTATTTACAGCAGCCTCAGTCGTTATACGGGTAACAGAAGAACTAATATACCCCACACCGCTAATAGTTGCAGGGTATTTTATTCAATATAGACTAACTTGTGACTGGCCGCATCCTCAGTTGTTACACAGCAAACTAAAACACCCCACACTGCTAACAGTTGCAGGGTATTTCGCACATACTTGCCGCCGGCTATCAAAAGTATGTGGCCACACACAGAATACGGTCACATTAGGTGCGCGGGCGCCATTTTAAAATGAAGTACAATATCTTTTAGGGTCTCACCCCGTCCCCCCATAACAACCTCCCGCGCGAACCCCGCACCAGAAGTTGGCCATTAAACTAAAAGCTTTGACATTTTTATGTGCGCCCGCCCGAGGCATCAAAGTGGCAGAAAAACTTTCGAGTGGGCACAAAACAAAGAACAACAACAAATTGCACATTTTAAATAAATTAAGAGAAGAGAAACTGATTTTTCACGCTCCGATTAAGCCCTGATGAATTTTCATTTTGGGTGAAATGCGCTGACTTAACGGTTCATTTGGGCTATAGTGCAAATCGGGCGTCGGACATCGGGCATCGGTGGTGCTCATTAAAATAAATTATGTTTGCTGTCAATTCGAGCCCGGCCGCAGCTCGGCAGAGCGTTAACCGAATTGGCTAAAACCAATTAGCAAGTTGTTGCCACGTGCCAAAAATGGACAACAACAATGGGACGGAAAATGTGCAATATGCCATTGGAAAATGCACACGAGTCCGATTGTGTGTGCGTGCATGTGTGTGTGTGTGCGTGCATGTGTGTGTATGTGTGTGCGGTTGCTCTTATATAACCGTGTGCAGCCAATTAAATTGGCCATCCTGTGCACTGGCTGCCAATGCATATTAATGCTGCTCGACTGCAGCACGATTGCTGCGCAATAAGACATCAGAACATCGACAATTCAGCTAAGACTTTGAGCAAAAAGCAGCTGATAAGATATCGAAAGTAGGTCAAGCTAGAAACTTAAACTGAAACATTCAATAATCGGGGAATCTCAAATTGATTGTTTAATACGACTGTCAAAATATTTGAAATTCTTTGGCGAATGTCAAAATTGCAGTCTGTACAATTTCCCATTTAAAAAAAAAAAAAAAAATGTGTGTATTTGCCCCGAATAATTCGTGTTTATTTACAATGATTTATGCAATTTCGTTTCGATGTTGTGGAAAATATAAAAAAGGTATCATTAAATTAAATTTAAAGAATTCCTTAGTTTTTATTTAATTTGAATTTTTAAGAATTGTGAATAGCTGACAAAAAGCTGGCAGCTACGCAAGTTTTTGCACTGCTTACAAGCAGTTGATCAAAGGCTGATAATTTTGATTTGAACAAACTCAATATGTAGATATTTAGATAAAAATTCAAATATAAAGGCTCATGAGAAATTTAAATATGGCTAACTATTAAAGGATGCTAGCAGTTGCGCTTTCCGTCCATGGAAACATAATTGTTTCCAGTTTAATCTACAAAGTGGCCTCGTTTCGCAGCATGTTATAATTTGTGAAGAGCTTGTTGAGAGCAAGAACTTTCAGCTACTTGTACACCAAGTGCAATTAGCTTAACGATTGCTCCAGATAAATCTAGTTCTTGAGTGCGCGTAATCTTTAGCTCACCTGTTTGCTTCCACATGCGGCTCAAGTAGCAACAACAGCAACAACAACGGCAACAAATGCAAATCGGCAGCCAATTTGTCATTTTGACAGTTGCCTAGCAACGGGGGCGGGGCGGGGGGTTAGGCGTGGTTTTAGCAGGCGGCGGCTGCTCTGAATATCCTGGTGTTGCGCATAGTTTATATTGAAGGCAACTTGGCAACAAGGCAACAAGGCAACTCAATAAAACTTACGCACTAACGTAAACTCCACTTAATATCCACATCAAATGCCTCAGGTCGTGCATAACGGTAAACCTCAACTTTTGCCAACTTCTTGTCTCCCTCTAACAGCAGCTTGTTGTTTCTGCTGCTGTCGGCTGCTTTCAGAGTCGTTAAAGTGGAAAATTGAAAGAGAAGCTGGCATGAAGCTGGATGAAGTGCATCAGCTTCCACTGATGGATCGCAACGACTGACAGCAGCAGCAGCAGCGCTGCATTGAGTGCAAGTCATGTTAGCGCTTTTAACGCACTTCGAGCGTAAATACGATTTACCGCAAAACAGAGAGAGGGAGCGCAACACACAGAAATAGAGAGAGAGAGAGAGAGAGAGCGCCAGAGCGCAATAAACAGCTGCTGATTAACACACGCTCATCGCTCGCACTAATAGCGCGGCAATAATACAAACAAAAACTACAACAATATAGTAATTGCTGCATCTAACTTACTTTAACTTAAAGACTTAAGCCAATTAACTGCATTCCAAGAACACAATTAATAGGCAAATAATTTGCCATATTGTTATTGGTTTCTCTTTAATACGGTTTTTACTTACAAACACCCAATTGGTCTCAAAGTACATTTTCCAGCTGTTTGTTTCTACTCAAAATTGTTGTGCACTGCAGCAGCAGTAAAATTACGGTACTCTGTAAGATGTTCCACGCCGACATCAAATCGCACGAATTGTATAACAAAACAAAACCAATAAATTAAATGGTAGAAGCAACAAAAACAAGTCATTCACGCGCTTCACAGAACTTCACTCACATTGCGCCTACGAAGTCGCGTCGAGCACTGAGTAACGTTTTTTTTTTACAAAGCGCTCAAACTGTGTCAATTAAAAGCGCAAATAAACGCACACAATCGCAAAAACAGACGCACACATAGCAAATCGAATGTCTGGGAATCGAACGTATGACAACAAAAACGGCAACAAGTACACAGATAATAACTCAGTGAGTGCAGATAAGCGTGAGAGTGGAGAGCGAAGCGAGCGAATGCGGTACTTTTGTTTTACTTCTATGCCCGCTCTTTGCGATCGAGAGGCGAAGAACAAACTTAATTAAAAAGTTCTAACTTATGAGGGGTGGGAGCGGGACGCTGGGCAAAACTTTTAATGCACAATCATAAAGCCCAAAGCAACTGTTATAATAATGATTATGTATATAAAGAGCATTTACTGCAGCTGCCTCAACTTGTAGAAATTCCAAGTTCGCTTATCTGATTACTCAAATGCTGCAGTGACGTCACAAGTAAGATAAGCCAGCAGCTGATAGCGGCTGAGAGAGAGGCTTAAGAGATAAAGTCCACTTATGAAAAGCATACTTTTAGGCTTAACAATTAGCGTACTTTAAATATTAACATTATAATGTATAAATAGTATTTTAAGAGTACTTAATTCCACTTATTTGTAAAAGCAAGCTACTAAACAATTTGCTAGACAAGGCAGGCAGCCAACTACATAAATTCTAAGCTACTTTTAAAATGCGCAAATAGTTAACTACTTAACATTTAATGTTTAACTATTATCATTAACAAAGTTTTCAAGGCCAGTGCCAAAAAGTTGGGCAACCACAGATTGAAAATCGAAAGAGAGCAAATACGAAATGTTAAAAGTATAATAGAAATTAAGAGAAAGGAAATGTTATATATAATTGAAGACAAAGCGTTAAACATTTCCTTTTCTTTAATTTTTATCTATTGAATTGTTTTTTTTTTTTTATATATATTTGCTTTCACAACAAAGCAGTTTGGCAGTCAGTCAATGTGGCAATTAGCAGAGAAGAAAGTATCTTAGAAAGAAAGCGGGAGAATATTAAGCGGAAAATAATTGAAAATATGCGTCATATCATTTTAGGGTAGATAGTTAGAAGAGAGAGAGAGAGGGAAAGCGATTACTACTAGAAAAGAACGTTTAATAGATTAGGGGCGAAGAGTACGGCGTGTAGTGTTTTTAAGAATTTGGTTGAGCTGTTTATTTAAATTTGGTCTGAGTTTTGTGAGGTTATGTAAGTTTTCGCTTACCGGTTTCGCTTTGGGCTTCTGCTTCGCCAAACGTTTCGGTTTCAACATAGTCCGCTATGGACGCACAGAGACACACACATACACAGAGATAAAGTGAGTTAAAGAGAGCGAAACGTTCGGAGCGGTCACTCCACACTCCGCGTGCTCTCACGTAGTTACTGGCCGATGAACAGGTTGTTGCTGATGCGGCTGAGAGGCTGAGAGAGTTGAGCGTAGAAAAGAGCGTAATCCTGGCAATTCGCTACTTAATTAATGAGCACAACATGCAGGCTAAACAGCCTGTATTGGTTGATGTGGTAGGTCGTAAAGGGGGGGTGGTGGGCGAGAAAGAAAAATGTATATTTATGAATTATTAAGGTATATTTATTTATTATTTGATTTGGCATGCAGGCGTACATAACGTGCTGGGGGAAACAATTAGTGCAAGGTTTGAAACTCCAATATTTTGGTAATGCAACCCTGTTTGCTAGTGTTGAATAATTCCGTTTTTTTTTAAACGTTATTTTAAGCAACTCTAAAAACCCACTGAAAAAGATATTGTTTAAAGCGCGCTGCAAATCACAAATGCACAAAAACCAAACAAACAAACCAAAAGCCCCAATTACGAATATTTTAAACATAAAATGGAACCCACTGAAAATGATATATGTATGATTTTATGTTGCCTTTCAATGGGATTTGAAGCCTTGAGGGGCACGGCCTTCTGCATGTTATGCTAATTGTGTTTACTTAGGCAACGGCACAGACAAAAACTCGGGTTGAACCATGAAATACCCATGCAAAAGCAACAACAACAAGAACAAGACGACTTAAATTCATACATAAATATATATAAACAATTTCGGATATGCCGGACTCACCTTGACGGGCTTTTTTACGGAGACTGTGCGCGAGTATTGATGATAGACCTGGACATGGTTCGATGTGAATTTGCCCAACATTGGTGGAGCTATTGAGCGCTGGCCAAAATGTTGCTAGTTGCTGTAAAATAGAGATAAAAAGTGAGTTTAAACTTGGCTTTAAGCGTGACTATCAAATAAACCTTTAAAAGGGTTCGAAACGAAATGCTTTTGAAGTTCGCACAGCTCATTGGGCGCACGTGGCGTATACGCAATGTGCCAGCCCAAATCTATTCGAGATGTCAATTAGGGCCAAGAAATATAATGACAAAATGATGAGCATTAAAAATGCAAATGTCTCTGTTAAATGTAGTACGTATTGCAAAATGTAAAACAACAAATTGAGAACAAGCTGCCAGGACCCATGTTGATCCTTGTTCCATGGACTCTCGACACATGGCCAGTCGCCAGTTGCCAGTTGCCCACGTACAGCTTTATTTGAGAAGGTGTGGCAGTGCGAGCGAGAGAGCGAGAGACGAGTGTGTGAGTGAAACATGAACAAGTCCGCGACAAGGTCGGCACAAGACCAAGAACAGGCGCTGGCGACAAATGTTGCCTCGACTGCCTTTGAAATTTGTGAAACAGCAAAAAAGCAAAAGTTATGCCAAGAATTTCAACAGCTTAGCTCGATTCAAGCGAGCAAATGAAATAATAAAGCTGATGGACGCCGAAATGCCCTACAAATAAATAAATGCAAATATTTAAGCAAACTTTGATTTTCTTAGGAATATCAAAATCAAAATTGACTTGTATCAAATGTAAGAAAATAATAAATTAATTAAATAATTAATTTTAAGAAGTTTTTAAAATAGTTCATCAGTATGTCCACTTCTTTAACTTCTGTGAAAAATAACACGCAAAATGACTGACTGACTGACTCCGAAATGCCCTACAAGTAGAAAATTGGAAAGATTCAAAATAACTTTGAGACTCTTCTAATTATTAAAAGTAAAAATTGACTCCTAATGAATATAAGAAAATATAAAATATATTGAATAGTCTTTAGAGTTTTTCAAAATACTTCAGAGCTATCTCAGAACTTGTCCAGAATGCAACATAAAGTTTTCTGGAGCAAGAACATTGCATAATATAAAAATACATTACAATAGACTAAACTTTGAACAAATGTATATGAAAGGTTGTGAAATAAATTTTTAAATGTTTTCTTAATAATTTATATACATTTATCAAAGATTCAAGCCCAGTCTAATGTATTTTTCCCAAATGTTTATATTTATTTCTAAACACTTTAATTGTGGATTAAGACTACCGCAGCTAGCTTTTGCATAGGATATTTAAAGAAGCGAAAAAGTCAAAGAAAAATGCCAGCTTTTCTCGCCATATAGTTGTTGCTGCTGCTGCTGCTGCTGCCTTAATTTGCGGAATTCAAGACATTTGCTTTCATTTGAGATTATGTGCGTATTATAATCCTGGCTGGCCATGCGAGTCAAGGATAACAAGTGCGCGTACGAGTACGCACTCCTGCTGACAGACGTATCTGGCCAAAATCAATACTTAAATATGTCGCAGAACAGCCGGGAGGGGGGGAGACGTATGTGATTAACTTTTGTGCAGTCAGTTACGCACAGAAATTGAGATAACGCCCCATTAAATATTATGCAGGAACAAAAGACATTTTAATATTGTGCCGACACGTACGCGACGTTATTTGGGTAACTAAATTTTCGTTCGTTGCCTTTTTTTGTTGCCTCTCTTCTTTTTTTTTTTTTTGGGAGGGGGAGTTTTCCTACTCTAATGATTGCTCAAAGTTCTAATTTGACTTTAATAAGCAATTGGGTGCCCGGCGATGTGAGAGAGCCCCAAAGCCCAGTCAGCAAATGTGCTTAACGCTTTACGGGCCAAACAAGTTAAGCAAATTCCGAGCTTAGTGCCAGAGCTGCGCTGCAAAGTATGCTACATTTTCTTTGAAGCAGTTGCAACTCAAGACTTGAGCGAACTTTAATATGTGTGGATATTAAAGTCAGGGTAGAGTATAAAAAATATTTATGATTAAATGCAGTTAATATTAACTTAGCATTGAAGAAACATTACAGCTGGCACTGACATAAATGTTTTGAAAATCGCAGAGAAGGGCGACATTTACAAGCGAGACAGAGTAAAATATTCAGAGAGCAGCTATCAAAACTTGGCTAAAAGGAGACAGAGAAAGAGAGGATGAGTCTTCTTAATTAGCGAAAGTGCTTGGCATATGTGGTTTGTTATTCTGCCAAATGATTCTTTACATAAATCCCAACACGCGCTTACACTTACCCAAAGAGGACACTCGCGGAATGTTTAGAGACCACAAGAGTACTCCACAATATGTAAACATGAAAGTAAAATCTATTATATTGCTATTCTATTATTCAAATTCGCTTTAACGAACACTCAACTCAACGCTCAAAAGCGACACATCATTCAACAAGCTGCTCCTCAAATACCGCATCAAAGCAACAAAAGCGCCGCCGGCGAACCGTGCAAAGCCGCCGCACTCGAAGGCAGCTTAAAAAAAAAATAAATAGCCGGAGAGCTTCTCGTGGTTTTCATTGGTAATTTGCAATGCAGTGTTGCAGGCTTTGGCGCACTAGAAACCTGCCGTTGAGTAGTTGGCGTAATCACTCAAGGCAGGACTGCAAAGAGGTGTGAAATGTATGTATGCACTTAGAGAAAAACCCTGGCCCGCTTATTAGAACTTCTTCTTTCTTGAATATTCTTTGAGAAAAGTACGAATCAATCTTGATTTAAAAGAAGTGCTTGGCATAATTATACACCCAGAGAAAAACCTTACTTTCTTAGAAAAGACTTTCTTTGAGAAAAGTACGAATAAATCTTGATATAAAAACAAACACACAACGTTTCCATTGGAAGATTACTTGATTAAGTATTGAGTTAAGATATTTTTGAACTAAGAGAGGTTCTTGACAAAGGAATTTAACTATGAGTTGCTTATTTTAAGTAAGACGACAACGTTTTTTCCCAGAGTGTAGAAGTATATGACAGACAAGGCTGCATTTACGTCACGTTCATTTTTAACAGATTTCCTTTGGCACAAATGACAGCAGGCAGGAGACAGGAGACAGGAGGCAAGAAACAGAAGACGGCCAGGACAAGGCAGGACAGGCGCTCAACGATATGGAGCCAAATGTCATCAACTGTCAAGGGCTGTGCTCAGCTGTTGAAATGAATGAATTCCTAATTGAGATAAGACTCAAGCAGCCACTAGCTCAAGTGAAAAATGAGCCGCACCAAGTGCCACACAACAAATCACACACCCACCCACACACACACACCCAGTCGATGGTATTTTTTTTTGTTGTTGTCGAAAACCGCTTAGCAGCAAATTAGTAAAGGCAAACAACAGATACTTAAATCTATGCCGTGTGTACGGCTGCCGAAACATGATTATTGGCAAAAGGAAACTGGCTAAAAAGGCCAAAGGATACACAGTGGCCCACAAGGAACACTCCCACACACACACAAACACACACACACACACACACAGGCACACACGTTGTGTGTTGGTGCAATCATTCAAGCGCAGACAAATGCTTTGGTGTTTGTTTATGTCAACAAAGTGTCCTTTGCAATTTCCACACTCGCACTCTCTCACATCAATTTCTGATTTGCTCTCGCCCACTATCCCCCTCTCTTTGACCCCGCATCCTGTTCAATATCCTGTGCAGGAAGTGCACTAAAAGGGGCATGCATGTGCGCTAAAAACTATCTACTATCGATTATATTAATGTGTGTGTAATGTGTGCAGGCCTCTAAGCGAGTGTCCTTTAAGCTCCCTGGCAAAAATAACTTCACAGTCTCAGAGCCTAGTCGATGTAGCTCTAGAAGTTCTGATTGGGCTGTTGATTTATCTACTTGATAATAATTCCCTGATAATTATGTGAATGATCGTATTCGTATTTCGTATTGGGGATATACAAAATTGATGATCCGATGAAGTCCTTTTAGTCATGAGATTAAAAGCAAAGCACCTTCCTCTTGTGGCTTTTAAATTTGTGTTCTCTACACGGCAAAGTCTAGCAGGAACAGGATATGAAATCAAATAACCTAATACTTTTATAAATACTAGGCTCTAAACCCTTTAATCTCATTCATGAGATTTGACAGATCTCTTCCTGGCCTTTAAAGCGTTTGTTTACGGCACGGGCAGACTCTAGCAGGCACAGGATGTCCTACAATCGGCTCTTGTTTGCCTATACTAGCGCCCAGCTCCCAGCAATAATCGCATTCATTGGCCAGCAACACGCTGTAAGTCTGCGGCAACAGGTAAGGACGTGACAAGGACGTGGCAGGAGCTGCAGCCCATTTGGCAATCATGTTTATTTGCGACACATTGATTTTGTAAGGACATCCGGACATGGCTAGAGCGGAAGACCACGTGTCTCACTCAAATGCCAAAAGCAAGTTCAATAAAATCCGGCCAAGGATGTGCAGCAAACAGGTGTGGAGGCGCAATCGATATGCAATTGAAAAATCAATTTATTAGGCAAACAACAAGCGATACATGCACGGCTCCCGTTTTAACTTGAACCATCATCGTTGATATATTCAATTATGCGCTCCTCGATGTAGGGCCCAAAGTGCTGGATGAGTCCGCGGGCCACATTCGCCTGGCTGTCGGACAGGGCACAGATGGTCGTGCCGGTCATGGTCTTGCTGATGACCTCGATAAATTCCATCATGTGCGGCACAGATTCGCCTCGGGTGAAGTTCTTGAAGATCTCGGGCAGCCAGATGGCGCCATCGCGGCACGGTGTACACTGTTTGCACGTCTGCTTCATGTAGAACTCGATGGTGTGCTGCATGACGAGCAGCGGATCGCAATCGTTGCAGACGACTATGATGCCGCCGGTGCCGAGTTCGCTGCCCTTCGCCTCCAGCGCGTCGTAGTCCATGAGCACCTCCTCGGCGGCCGCTCGGCCAATTAGCGGGGTGGACAGTCCACCCGGCCAGACGGCCAACAAGTTATTCCAACCGCCGCAAACGCCGCCGGCATGCATCTCAATAATGTCGCGCAACGGCATGGACATCTCCTCCTCCACGGTGCAGGGATGCAGCACATGGCCG